GGCCGCTGCAGCTGAGGAGGGTGTCGGGAAGGGACCGAGCGCGGTTAGAAGTGGCGATGTCGTTAAAGCGTTTTGTGGCTGCCTTCCCGGAGGCGGTGTGTCCCGAAGCAGTCACGAGCAGAATCCGAGGGAAAGGAACAATTTACGTGGGAAAGCAAGTGCCAGGAATGGAGGTGTAACAGAATGCCATGAGAATGGGCTAAAAATGGGCTAAAAAGAACAAAAAAGCAGAGAAGAGGTGGGTGATTGATGAGTAGAAGTTGCGAGAGAGCATGCAGGAATAGCTCGGGGGTTGTCCTTTGAATCCAGCCTGGTTCTCAGGAGCCGAGGGAAAGGAACAATTTACGTGGGAAAGCAAGTGCCAGGAATGGAGGTGTAACAGAATGCCATGAGAATGGGCTAAAAATGGGCTAAAAAGAACAAAAAAGCAGAGAAGAGGTGGGTGATTGATGAGTAGAAGTTGCGAGAGAGCATGCAGGAATAGCTCGGGGGTTGTCCTTTGAATCCAGCCTGGTTCTCAGGAGTAGCAGGGCTGTGTGATGAGTGAAACGTGCGCTTTCCGCTTTGTCTGGCAGAGGACATAACTGTGATGGGTTGGTGTCAGATCTGAGATATCTGGGCCATGCAAGTAAAAGTTGTGTAGGTAGAAAGCCTGGAAATGCTATGCACATGGAATGCAGCTGTCCAGCAACGTGCCACCAGTGATACAGGAGCACCTGGGGCACTGGTTAGATCTGAGATGTCGACCTTAGCTCCGTGCCCAAAGCTTTCCGTGCTTTGCCTGTGGCAGTTGCCCATGACCTGAGTAGTTACGAAATTTTGGAACTTTGGCCACTGATGTTAATTTCTGAAATCCATTGATACACAGAATTTAAGTTAATTAAAAGGTTAAAGAGTAAAGAAAAAACATGAGCTTTAAAAGTTCAAAGGCACTGGTGTGCTGGTTTGGCATTACTCCAGTACTGGAGTTCTGCCAGGCTTTTAGAATACAAAGAACAAACTGCGTTTGTAAGTTCGTGTTTGTTCTTTCTGTACTCACAGCAGCATGACATTTTAGTTAAGATGGAGAGTTCATCTTTCTGTTTTGACACCTTTGTGAAAAGTATGGCGACTTTTTGATAAGCCTTTTGGTCTGAGTGCAAAAAAGTCTTCTGTTCTGGTCCTGCTAAGTCCCTCAGATGCTCATCATTGAAAACTATCAGCTTCTCCCTTGTATGCCTTTTCTGGGTTTGGACTTGTTTCTTCTGTAATTCTAATTCCCGATTAAAAACTTTGAAGTTTTCTAACAAAATGCAGGTCCTGTATTAATATCTTTTTCTGCTTTCAAACATTCATTTCAAGTAAGTTGCCCTTTTTTACAACAAACAAAAATGTTGAACAGGCTGCCCCTGCTATTGCTGCTTTGTAATATTTATAGCTATACTGCTGAGACTAGCCATGATGGGATTTATCACATAGATATCCAGATTTCTTAGCACTATGGCTGAAGAAAATCCTAACTTTCTGTGTGTGATTTAATTTTCCTATTTAATTTCGTATGCAACCAGAGAAAAAGCATCTTTTTCCTTTTGCAATAAACAATTGTGATCATGAATAAACTTCAGAAGTGCAGAGGCATATATACTAGTTGTGGTACATGAACCGTTTCACAGTGATGTGTGACGAGGCATGAAATTGGAAGCTGCCCTTGGCACTGGTGGTGTCCACTCTTTCTGAATATAATAATGGCATCCATTAACATGTCTAGTGTGCACAGTAACAGCTGGCAAAAGAAGGGTTTGACACCCTGCAATGTAGTCCTGTTGAATAATTTTAGTAGCATTGCTAAGACTAGCAATGAGGATACTATTTGCTGTCCTGCCAGAAACAACATTAGTTCCTGCTACCATAGCTTTACGTTGTGTGTTCCAGGTGGCCAACCAGCCAAAGGAAATAGTTTTGTTTAACAAAGGTGGAGAGGCTTTGCCCTTGTGTAGTATCAGATACAGAGAAAGAAATAGGAGTTGAATGTTATCTACATATGAAAAAAGGGGGAACAGAGGAGAGAAAGAAAATGGAAGAAGAGGGTGCAGAGAAAAGATAGTTTAACAAGCATAGTCTGAGAAAGAGCTTGTTTGCCCAATGTGTGTCTGAAAACAGTTGGAAAGTAGCTCAGGGCCCCAAGCTCGTGTCAACAGCTGGGGTATTCCCAGATCTGTATTAATAGCTGATTAAATGAGAAAGGGAACGGTTCTGCAGCCTAAAATTAGGTTATTCCAAAGCTGCAGTGTTTGTAATGAACTTTGTATTCATTTTACTTATTCTTAAATTTCATCATTACACTTTGGGATTTAAGAGCGCATCACTCAAAATTCTAGTGCTCTTAGTCTTAAGGTGGAAAGTAACCACTACCTTTCTATAAGACACTCTACTAACCTAGTTGCCGAGTTCATGATCAGCTGGAGCAGGGGAAGAGTTTCACTTCAGCCACATTGTTCAGTTGTCTGGGGTACTGGCAACACTTCCTGCTAGTCTTAACAGTTCAGATATTTTGGAAACATACATGAGGTTCATGCTGCTCCTCTTGCTCTGAGTGGAAGGGTTGCTCTTAATGGTCGTAGTGGGTGGGGACAATTTGCAGGCAACATGATAATAAAGGATATAGCACTTTTCAGCAGTCTGGCAAGCCTAGGAGGAACAGTGACACACCTTTTCTTCAGCAAAAAAGTGATACTCCTACAGCATGAAGAATTATGCCGACCCTGTATCCTTTGCTTATCACATGGAGCTGCTAACCTATCCGCGTGCTGTAGGAAGTGATGTTGGCTTTGCCTTCTCTTAACACTGCCACAAGGAAGTCCTGCAGAAAGGTGATTTTTTGGTTAGCTGTTATCCCTTCCCCATTCATACTTACTTTTAAGACTCTGCTTCATTGGCCTCTCTGATTGTTTCCAGTGTAGCACTGGAAAAGCGTGGAAAAGACCCAGTGTGCCCAACTTTAAACCCTGCAAGCATTTTACAAACATGTTCCTTGTCCTTGTGTTCCACCCACATACATTACAGGTAACGGTTGCTGCCCAGAATTACAAGAAACAGTGGGTAGCTTTGCTTCAGTTTCATGTTAGATTCGTGTAGTGGGCCACAGGCATAGGCTGGAGATTCTTAATTTGATGGTCTTGATGGCTCAGTCCTCTGACCTAACCACTTTTGTGGTGAGGGAGAGATCCCTTCACACTTGTACCTTGAGTGCCTCCTGTTACAACTCTGCTTCCAATACTTTCAGAACTTCATGCTGGAGTTCTGTCTGTATTTTCCCCGCAGCAGTGTCCCAGCCGCTGCAGGCAGCATCAGTTGACTCAGTCAGCATGTATCTTGTGACAGATCACACGCCCTCATAGCAGGCCCCTCTGTGTCCTCATCCCAATAGAATTAGTTTTCAGATTGCCACAGTCAATGAAGCCTTGCTTCTGATTCACAGGAGAAATCTGAGTTAACTCAGACAATCCTGTTAGTGTTTCTGGAACAAAGATATTCTGGCTAGAGGTTGGGCCTTTTACAAGGTTTTTTTTTTCAGGAAAAGAGGGTCTCCCTTCACTGCCACTGGAGTTCCCAGCAGCCATAGGCACTGAAGCTCAGCTTGGAGCTCCTCTAGGCAGTTTAGTAGCATTGCCTGCACTGAAAGAGGTTGTGCCCTATTCCAGATCTAGTGGTAGCTTAGTTACAATAAATTTCATGCAGTACATCATAAAAAAGGCAGGTGGGAAGCACGCTTCCCACAGACCAGTTGTAGATGCAGGTATAACAACTGATTAACTTAATTTTTAAAAAATATAAACCTCCATTGTTGTGCTCTCCTGTAGCAACCTTTCTGCATCACAGATTTTTTGACAGCAAAATCATCTCATGCTTCATGTCTTCTAACATTTTGTGTGTGTAATTCCTTTTTTTTAGTATTACAGAATATAAGATGGCAGATTTTTCTTAACAAGGTCTAATGATATATCATCTCTTTTTGGAGTGATAACAGTAAATTTAAGATTGAGCAACCTGTATAAAGAGCTCAGAATGTTCCTCACATTATATACTATCTTCTTTTCCCTGAATTTCACTTGCATTGTAATTCACATTTGCTTCATGTTGTTAGACTCCTCTGAAACTCAAGAATTCTCTGGTCTCAGGCAAGACCAGAAATTAACTAACCTGTATAATTTTGTAGCAATTGCAATTTTTTGCCAATGTGTTTTTTCTGGACTTTGTCCAGAAAACTGGCATGCTTACA